GAAATGGTGGGAATGAGGCAGGGAGGTCGGTGCCTTCTTCTTTGACCCAGAACCAGGAGAAGGAGAAATCAGACACTCCAAAGGAAAAGGATTGAGAGAGACAGAGGAGTAGTCGAAGAAGAGGAATGAACCCTAAACAAAAGCATGAAAAGAATGCTAAAGCTCCATTGTCCTCACAATTCCAGCCCATGGTAAAGAAAAGATTGGAGGGTGCTATTGACCTAATTTAATTGATTAAGGGAGGGACGGGGGGGACCCATGAATGATCTGGTTACGGGCTCATGTGAGCTTGTCCTTTTCGTTATTCCTTCCTTTTCGTTTCTCTTTGTTTGCTTGCTTAGCATATTTTAGGCCTTAGTTTGTTTAATGACTCATTTAGGCCATTTTGGTTTTAGTTTTAGTTTTAGGGTTTAGTTAGTTTGGTTCAGTTTTGACCGAAACGACCGAATGTTTGTACCTGATGCGGTAATATGATAGTTGGTGCTTGTTTATATGCATTTGTGTGTTATGTTTGAGGTTAGATTTACAATTTTGTATTAGTCTTTCAATACAAACAACTAAACACCCTTATTCATTTGGGTTATTGACGTCATTCTTTGCTTTTTTTTGTTTATTGATTGTCGATCCTCTTGTTATTTTGAATAAATTGTGTACGACATCCGAAAAATTTTCGAACTTCGATTGATATTAGATGAAGATCGAACTACACTATATGCATTTGGCAACCATATATACAAAAACACAAATTTATTCAATAAATTAAAAGTGGCCATTGTTCCAAACCAACATAAACTTTTGGTGCAGGAAAATTATTAAAACTCTTCTAAAGAATCATACTCATGGAAATTCAATCTTGTCAACTAGTTATCCAAGGGATTTCCCCCCGAAATACGAAACCTAGTAAATTTTTTTTAAATAAGTCAATTACAATTTACAACAAAATTTCTAAAATAGACAAGTTTGTGGTGTGTAGCTATAGTGTCCAACAATTTTGGTGTCGGTTCGTTGGAGATGAAATAGATTTTACTCAAATTGCTGCCAACATAAGCAAGTTACACAAAATCGATGCTAGCAGAAGCAGTCTAGCTAGCTTCAAAATCATGTCTATTTACAAAGAACATTGATAAAATTGCTTTGTTGATGTCAAGTGAACCGATACCAAATTGCTAGACACCGCAACGAACAACCCAAACTTGTATATTTTAGAGAATTTCATTGTAATTGTGTCATTGTAAGAATTTTTTTTTCCAGTAAGCATAGCCTTTTTGAGCGAACATAAGCGAGTTACACGAATTGCCGCTAGCAAAAAAATGTTGCTTCTGAAAGCTGTATTGGTAATTATCGGCTGCAACTGCAAGTGCTGAAGAAACGCTTTTCCAGCTTCGGGTTACATATAAAAAAAAACAAACAAGTTTCGCTTTCGTAATCGAATAGGATATTAGTTCGTGAATGATTATCCAGTAGAATCTATCGAACGAGATTTGCTGAACACACAGGTATTCAATGAGTGTATTTTTATAATGTTTTTTAGAATATAAAAACACGTCGTACGCGCGCGTCAGTTTGTAACTTGCAGTAATTAGGTATTTAAAATTTAATTATTATTTAAAAAAAACGCTTATATAAAATTTCTGGGCCGGTTACTAATCTACAATGAGCTAGCTGGTTCAGCCCTAATGCCCTATGCAATGCAATACAATTTGCAAAACTGTTTTGATTTTTGGTAGGGCTGGCTGCAACATCGGCAAGTATCTCAGATTTGACAGTCACGTACAAATACAATGGTTTTATGTTCTTTTTTTTTTTTTTTTTTGGGTGTACATGAGATGGAGATATATATATGGAGAGAGAATGGAGTTAGGCTGCCTGCGAGTATTGTGTGCGCAAAATTATGTTCTTGTGGTTGCTTTTGCTTTTGCTTGCTTGCTTGCTGGGCTGGCTGGGCTGTCCTCCTCCTCGCTGGCCGCCGCTGCCGCTGGATGCTGGTCCTGCGCTGAGAGCAACCAGCACTACAGTTAACCAACTAGACTTCCCTAGGCCACAAAAAAAAAAAAAAAAAATTAATAATATATATTTGGAAAAAAAAAACAAAATTAAAAAGGGTACAACAATTACAGAACCCAATGCAATATTACACATCCAAATTAGAGGAGGATATCATTTACTACTAGCCTAGCCTAGCTAGGCTAGCTAGGCCTAGGGGTCATTTGTTTGGTATTTTACTTGGGACCGCCCACCTGCCATTTCGCACCACCTTCTTCCCATTGATTCGAATGATGGGTGGGTTTTGGAGATGGACGGTGAACTGCGTTACTTGGGGACCATTCTATTCTATGTAGCCATGGATTAATGTATAGATATGCAAATTTCATTCCTTTCTGTGTGATATTTTTGATAAATCTCACATTTCATAAACGACTGATGAAAGAGATCCATCGACATGGTTTGTAAGAAAACAATCAAATTTGAACTGACAATGTATTTATTTTGGAGTGAAATGAATGAGTTCTTACAAGAACTATGGAATTTTTAAACACAGTCCCAGCCCCAATATAATGAACAACACAACCGTCACCTGATAGAAAACCCCTCAACGAGTCCAGACTCCTTCCATCAATGATTTCCTCCACCCTCCCAATTATCTCGTATTTTGTTCCCCACCACTTTTTCACAATTAGCCCACTCCCCATTCCATTGCAAGCTTTCATTCATCTACCAAACCTTCCGCACCAATGTCCCCAACCTCTTATCGATCAAGTAGAGAATGCATCAATCAATAATGAGTTAATGGTCAAAGTGCTTCAAGTGAATCTAAGAATAAGGATATCATTCCTACAGAAAATAAACAAGGACGATTCTACGGGGATTAGAGTGAGGGTGACTGGGTGAGGACGATGTTGAGCGAGGGATATTAGGGTTGATCCTAACGATCTTATGTGATTTTTTTAATCTTAACTATTAACCATATTAAGTGATTTCTATGAGGTTTCAGGTTGCTTATTTGTGTGTTTTTGTTATGTACAAGAATAAATCTATAGATTTATTTGTGTTTATTTAGCAGATAAACTTATCTTTGGAAGTAAGTAGGTTATAATGTGGTTGATTGTTATTCATAATACGCATTGTTATTACTAAGTATTGTTTTAAGTGTTTATTTTAATATGAACCTTAAAATCTTACGATTTTACGATTTTAATCTACGATTCCGATTTTACATAAAATCCCGATTTTGACTGAATTGATCGTACCATTCCACTTGCCAAATCAGCGCAAAGGTATAAACCGGTTTGAAAACCCAATACTAATAGCGCTAAACCAAGCTTTCCCACTAAATGGTTACATGACTTTCTTAAACAATTCTTTTTTTTCTTGAAACAAAGTCAATTCAAATGGTTTTTTTTTTTACAAAAGATAATCATATATTGATACTGAAGAAAAGTCAATTCAAATGGTTGACATAGCCATTATAAAATAAAATAAAATAAAATAAACTGGTTGATATACATGTAGTCCTAGTTGAATTCTCCACACTTTCTGAACATTAATTGTGAATCACGAATTCGTGGTTTAATTTTGTTCCAGCATGTTATTGGCATATTGCAACTCCCCTAGCTTGTTACTATTTTATGAGCCAAAGTCCCCAAGTGTCCTAGTGGCACTGATTAAAAAAAAAAAAGAAATAGTGGCACTAACAAAATTAATTCTATTTAGTGTTACTATTTTATGAGACAAATTGATCATAAGGTATTTTCATATTCAACGATAAATGAGAAAACATATGGGGTAAAGTTTAATTAAGAGATTATCCCAAGCACATCCAATGAAGTCCTAAAATATTTATGAAAATAATAAAAAAAAATTCCAAATTCAACCTGGAAATTATCAGTCAAGGGTCTCCCTATACTGAAGCAAAGCAGCTGACCTACTCATATCTGTAATTTTTTTTGTTATTCCAGATTCCTAACCACAATGATCCTTCAATTAGGGAGACAATTGACCTGAGCGTCAGGAGAAGTTATTGCAGTTGATTAAACTAATGACACAACATAAACACAAGTCATTAGTTAATTAACCACAAATATGTGAATGTGCAAATGACACCTCCTCATTAATTAGATATGTATTACTATATTTGCCTACTTGCTTGAGTCACTTGCGCAACTGCAGTTGACTGGATCTTCATATGTGCACTTAGATAGCGATGGTCTAATTAATTTAACCTATAATCAAGTTGAAATCAAATTTATTTTAATAGCCAATGGATTACAGATTCATATAAAAAAAAATATGCATGTAGGCCATATATATAAATTATAGACCTCCCTTAAAACATAGGAGTCCATGAGTAATTAACTATCCCTTAAAAAAAAGAGATTCTCAGCACACTTGTGAATTGATTAAACAGCCATTGAACATGTCAATTGACTTGGGATAGACTTTATAATCATTAAAGAAGATTTAGAGAATACATACAGAGTTTGAAATTAAATACGCGACAACATTTGTGATGAAAAAGATTTGTCGTAATTGTTGAAAAATGTTTTCGCGATCGTCGCTATATGCAGTTGCTTTTTTTCTTCCTAGTGTATTGCATCGTCGGAGGAGTTTTGCATAAACCTGAACCTTCTGTGACAAAGTCTTTATTGCAAAAACTAAGGTACTGCGACAAAGATCGTTATCATAACAACTAACCAAACCTGAAACCACCAAATAAGTACCTTAAGTAGTACCTTAATGACGACAAAATAAAATCTATATCACCCTTATAAAAAAAAACCTGAAACCACCAAGTCCCTGCAAAACAAACAAAAAGGCCCCCACTAAATCTGTCCAAGAAAATAAGAAGGCCATACAGACTATGGGCCCAAAAGCATACAGGCCTTGGTTGTTGAGAAATTTAATCAGACCGGGCTGGGTTGTGCAGGTTGATGGGTCGAACCACCTTGGTGTAAATTCAGTAATTCACGCAGGTTCTTTGAAGGGGGGAGATTGTTCCTAATCCGACCACCGGCCGCTCTTCGCCCTCCTCTTCCGCTCATTTCTCCAGCTCGGCGACGACGCGGCGGCCGCCGCAGTGCAACAACTTCTTCCGTTTGTTCATTACTTTCCAGTGACTATCAGTAGCGGGCTTTCTGCTTCTTCTATTTGTCAATTGGAGCTTAGGAGGGGGAGATGACGATGGCAATGTCAATTGCGCAGTTCACTTTCTTCTCCAGAGCAACGTCCTCCTCCTTCCTCAATCGAACCAATGCCCGCTTCAATCGATTCACCTTCTCCACGCCTTTCTCCACTGCTGATGCTACTTGCACCCGCAAGAAGAATGGGAGGCTTCCTGTCCTGTCAGCGCTGGAACTTGGTGGAGTGAAGATTGCTAGAGATGGTATGCTCAAAGTTCTTCGCTATTAAGCCTGTTGAAGTGGTGATTTTGAATTTTCGATGTTTTTGGCCTTGTTCAATTTGTTAAATGTCTTCCTGGCTTTTTGTGGCCAATTGTAGATGTGGTGAGAGATGATCCAACAAACAATGTGCCCGATTCGATTTTCTCGAAGCTCGGGATGCAACTCCATAAGAGGAACCAGCATCCGATCGGCATACTGAAGAACGCGATATACGAATACTTCGACGCCAATTACTCCAACAAGTTTGATAAGTTTGATGATCTCTGCCCTCTGGTTTCTGTTAAACAGGTTTTAGTTTGTAGTTCTTGTGCTGGAATTTTCTATCTGAAACATGAGTTGGCTTTTTCTTGAATAGCACGTCATTTCCCTCCCTTCTTTTTTTTCGCAGAATTTTGATGATGTCCTCGTTCCTGCTGATCATATATCGAGGAGCTATAATGATACTTACTATGTTGATTCTCAAACTGTTTTGAGGTGCCACACCAGTGCTCATCAGGCAGAGTTGTTGAGGGATGGACATACGCATTTCCTTGTAACTGGAGATGTTTACCGTAGAGATTCAATTGATTCAACTCATTATCCTGTGTTTCACCAGGTTTTTGTGGCCTCCCATTATCTGCAACCTCCAAACTTTTTTTTTTTGGGGTTCTTTTTGAGGTTTTGGAGCATTCATTCATATACTCTTCTGTTAGAAATGCAGATGGAAGGGTTTCGTGTGTTCTCACCCGAAGAGTGGGAGGCCTCGGGATTGGACGGCACATCTTATGCTGCTGGCGATTTGAAGAAATGCCTTGAGGGGCTAGCTAGACACTTATTTGGTAAAAGTGTTTGTCGTCTTGTTTATCGCCAATAAGTGGAATGTATAATCTACAAACAAAACCAATAGTTGCTTTCATCGGTGCATATAGGATTGCGTATTGATAACTGCTATCCATTAATAAGCTGAGTTCATTTAATTGATAATAATATGGCGACCCTGTGATTTGTTTGATTGCAGATTTCAATGCTTGGACAATTTAGTGTCCTGCTCAAATCCAAAGGCCTTTACTGGCTAGAACTTTCTGCATATATGTGGATAACAACATGCTAGCTTGATGCTGATAAATTCAGTAGACAATGAGAAAATATATTTGCATCAGCTTACTGAAGCTTTTTTCTTATTTGTAATGTCTTGACATGCTACTTTTCAAATGCAGAGGTGTTGTTTTCATTGACAATCAGATTTCACTGGTTCACTATGATGAGTATGCCTCGCGTGGTGATCTGTAAATGCATTCAGTAACATTGAATTGTGACTTAAAAAACAGGCTGATTTCTGAAGTAGCACACAGTCTATGTATTTCCTCAAACATGTAGGGTGATTTGACCTGTAGCACAGGTTACTAATTGTCTTTACCGTTCAGTTGCCTGCATTTCAGCGTTTCCCTAGCTGTTGATCCTCATCTAGCAATTTTTTTTTTTTTTTGGAATTTACAGGTGCAGTGGAAATGCGTTGGATCGATGCATATTTCCCATTCACGAATCCATCTTTTGAACTTGAGATTTATTTTCAGGTATGCTGTCAATTCTGCCTTGTAATCATTGAACTCTTGCTTCTCCATACTTTCTCCCCCCCCCCCCCCCTTGAGTCTCCATAGATTTTCCTTAGCTGCATGAGGGAAGAAAAAGAAATCTTTGATGCTTTTGTAAGAGGGACAGAAGTGATTAATTTTACAATGTTAAGTAAACCTTTGAACCACTTTTAGCTTTTGAAATGTTTTGAATCTATTAAACCATATCTTAAAGGGCAAAAGAAGAAGGAAAGGGTTCCATCAATCTTCTTTTCTTGTATCCTGTGTGGCAGAGGGTCTGTTACTAGAAAATAGTTTGATTTTGCCAGAGGCGGACGTGCAACTGTATCTCTCAAGTAAAAATTGGTTGATGCTTTTTTCAGGAGAAGTGGATGGAAGTATTAGGCTGTGGGGTTACTGAGCAAGAGATTTTAAGGAACAATGGCCAACTCGATAGTGTTGCTTGGGCTTTTGGACTTGGATTAGAAAGACTTGCTATGGTTTTGTTTGACATACCTGATATTCGGCTTTTCTGGTCAAATGATGAGCGCTTTACATCTCAGGTAGGGTCCTAAACTTTTGAAGATGGTTTAAAAACTGTTCACAAGCGCATCTATTTGTGACAATACCCCTAACTGACACACTGAGAGCTCTGTCTACACAGTTCACCAAGGGCAAAATGGGGATAAAATTCAAGCCATTTTCAAAGGTGAAAGCTTCATCTCATCTTTATCTTCTGTGGATGATTTTCAGATCAACACACTTAACTTGAGCATCTGCCTTGCAGTTTCCTCCATGTTTCAAAGATATGAGTTTTTGGATCAATGAATCATTCACAGAAAACAATTTGTGTGAAGTTGTCCGAGGAGTGGCTGGGGATCTTGCGGAAGAGGTATTGACAATTTGACATATATCTTCTTCGTTGTGTCAGTTATTAAAACTGTGTTCATTTTCCCTTTCCGTTGTTTTCTGAAACCCTCTCTATGACCTTTTCATAATATTTCGGCTGCAGAATTACCATAACTTCAACTCTATCCTCTAAACACTTGTTTACTTTGTGTTACTTGTTTACTTGTGTTAGGTGCAATTGATAGATAATTTTACAAACAAGAAGGGAATGACAAGTCATTGCTATAGGATTGCTTACCGGTCCATGGAATGCTCACTTACAGATGAAGAAATCAATGAATTGCAGGTAAGAGTCACAGTGTGACTAAGTTTGTGCGTTTTGAATTCTCTATATGGATAGAAAAACTGAATGCTTCAGAAACATCCTTGCATATTCTGCTGTCTGCAGAGGAAAGTGAGAGAACAAGTTGAAACAAAGCTGAATGTTGAACTCCGATGATAGATCGCTATTTGCATCAAGATTATGCTTCAGAGGGAGTAAGAGCTGCAAGCGAAACCATTGTTTACGAAATCTATGCATCGCCAGCACAATTTGAGACACGAACCGATAGAGATGTTAACTCCTTGGCAGCAACACAAAAGGAAAAACATATATTGGCTGCCAACTACAAGATCCACTATGTAGCTTCATAAAAGTGTTGCTTTTGATTTTGAATCCGTTGAAGGAGGGCTGTGGAGGTTTTGCTTTTGATTTCTGTATCGTAGCAGAGCATCATAAGTCGCTTTTGTTTCCTCGGTGCTCTATAGCAATTCAAGTTCTATGTTATGCATCTTACCATAGCTTGCTCCTTTTGGTAATAAGATGGTATGCACCATCAAGAACTGGAAAGAAAGCAACACTGAAGATAATAAATGAAATCTCTTGTAGATATGCAAACAAAAGAAACTTGCTCGTGGAATTATTTCTCAAAGGAACTCGTCAAAGAATAAAGAAACAGTGAAGTATAACTCTTACAACATAGAATTATTTAACTTCATTTACAAGGAACTCATCAAAGAAGAAAGAAACACTGAAGTATAACTCTTACAGCATATGCCAAGACCCCTGTTACCCAGTCAGCAACCGAAAAGCCATGCAACATCACTTGGTCATTTCGCAGAAGACGAAGCTCAAATGGTTAAAACCCTCAAACAAGGTTCCTGACTGATAAGTCGGCAATGCAATGGTACACATGACATGCAACGCGTCGTAAATGATGTCATAGCAAACTTTTTCGTAATAAGACATCATCATCAACTTCCACACCATGGAGACTCAGACACCCAGCTTCTCTCTATGCTCTTCTAGGCATCTTCACCTCCACCTTGGCAACCACGGCCAACTGTGCACTATCCTAAGGAATCGTGCGTTTTTCTTCCCTCCTAATTGGAGCTCGGTAGAGTCTTGAACTCATTGACAAGTTGGTTTCTGAAGGTTAAGATAGCTCCTCCTTGTTGAACTTGTTCCATGCTTCCTGTTCCCATACAACACAACACAAAAGCCATGCATTTAAAATTTCGACCTGCTCAACAGTCACCATGTTCGAGTAGTGCCAAGTATTCGCAAAGTTCATAATGACTGCATGTGGTGCACAAACTTTTTCGCCAGGGTGAAACTATGAAGTAAAGTAACTACAATCACTGCAGTGATAGAGGTAAGCAAGTGCCATTGCAAAGTACAGCTTATTAAACTGACACTTTATACAGCTCTTCCATAGACAGCACTGGACTGTTATGTGTCAACCTTTCTCCGCTCCTACATTATCAACTATAAGCTTAATACTACAACTAAACAAACACAGCTGGCAAGAAATAGCAGATGTCCATGTTGCAGCAGGTAATTCATGAGCATTAGTCAAACTAAGTCTGCCACCTAGCTCCTACAAGTCGCAAGAGAAGGAATAAGGTGGTGGTCTAAGGCTTATAGCTTTACCTAGCTACCATATCTTGTTGATTTTGTTTGTTAATCCATTGTTCTATTCTTCTCTGTTTGCGGTGTTGCTCTAAGTAGTAGGGTTCTTTGTTACATGCCGGTATAGTTTCATTGCTAACTTGCCATGGTGTATGGGTAGATTTCATCAGCTATTTTCTAAGATATGCTGCTTTCTCAATTATCTAATGCAATTCGAATACGAATAGAGCAGTAGTATGATCAGGAAAAACAACGTATTCTTTTATTTATTAAAGGCCGTGCAAGCAGATTTATCGACTAAGCCTAGAACATAATTAGAAGGGAGCCAGTAACCCAGCCTAAAGCCAAATTTTCACCTAAATCAGGTCCCATAGCAGTTAGGGGTCGTTCGAATGTAGGATTTGCCTCATGGTAACAGAACAAGATTTTTAAGTAGAGGGTTTCTTCCGAAAGCCTTGTTTGGTGGAGCAGAAGAAGCTACCAAGTCCATGAAGCTGGAAATCTATGATTTCAGAAAGTCACCCTAAATTAGGCATTGTGAAGTCCATCCCTAATATGGTGGTCCATTTTGTCATCTATTTTTTGTGAATTCCAAATTGCAAGGAAAAAGAGTACTGAAAAGAGCAACGATGAGAGCATGAAGGTAATTTTACTTTTAGTAGTCGAAATCCACCACTAAAATCAAACATCCAAACAAAAAAACAAAAAAAAAATCAAATCAAATCAAATCCGCAAAGCTCACTTTTCAAATCCGTGGATTTTTCAACAATCCATCACTTTCTGAGACCTGAAAGCCAAATGACCCCTTAAGCACAATTGCATTCATGAAGTCTATAACAAAGATAATTCGAAGTATTCATTATGCATGATAATAACTATTTGTAACAACAACAAAAGAGATAAAAAAACATACCTTGAGGATATCAAAGACCTTCTCGGCAATGTATTTCTGTTCAAGAGTTGCACCTTTCTGTTGAACCTTGTCAGGATGCACACACAAAGTCGCTTTCCTATACACTTTTTTGACTGAGGACGATGTAATCAGATCAGTCAGAGAGACGGGTTCCCAACCACATTCATTCCAGAGCACCTGAGGATCCACATCTTTAACATGTTTAGACACATTGAGACCAACCCGTGTTAACTTTACAACTAGCTAACCACAAACCATTGTTCCCAATCACGTAAGTGATATTTAATTCTCCAACGGACAACATATGATGCTTCTCTTTTAAGATTTTAATTCTGAGACACTCTTTGTCTATCTCCAAGTATTGGGCATATATGTTCATCTCCACTAAGCACGAATCGAATAACTATGCAGAAGTTCAAACATAGGTTCAGAGCAGCTAATACCATTTCTATCCTCTATCGTTCATTGTTGAGCAATGCAATAAACTTAGATTGGAACTTACAAAGTATGCCAATAAAACAGATCACTCGTGATATAATAGAAACACATACATAGGTTAATATAACCACAAATACCAGAAATCGTCCATATTTCAATAAAACTAGTTTTTGTTAGTGAACTAACGAACCAATAGCACAACCAAAAGTTAAACTGCCAAAGAAAGAGGTTGTGAAATGACACACATACATATTGCAAAGATGACAACAGGGCCCGCATATTGCCTTCCTTCCCAGCAGCCCACCTCTTTATATCAAGATCCATTTTCTCAGCAATCATCTGCATTATTATGTGTCGAGTGATCAAGAATAAAGTAAACAGTCTGCTCGCATATTAGAATAGCACTGCTCGGTGGAACTTTAAAAGACATCAAGATATGATCTATCACCAAGATTGGTCCTCATTGTCAAACAACTTAAAACAGGTTAAAGGGGAAAATAGCAAGAATACATTCTGTGGGTGACTTTTAGTCATTTATGAACCAACAATCTCCAGAAGAATAACAAGGTTGATGAAAACAGCAGAAAACCATGCAATATCATCCAACAGTCTTAGTTTATAAATGCATATTAAAGACAACAGGAGGATTAACTTACCCGCCTCTCTTCTTGTTCACGTTGAGTTTGGTAGTCACGCTGGTTCATATCAGCAACTGCCTTTGCCTGTATACGTAACAAAGTCAGAGAGAACTGAGCTCAGCTCAATGTTTCTACGTAATAACAGTTAAAAGGGCACTATCTTGCAGGCGAACAGAAACATTATAGACAACTCCAGTAAAATGTTGCTTATAGAGCATCCATATGGCAGACAAACTCCCGTACAAAACAGATAAATCCAGCAAGTACCACTTTTGGGAAAGCAAAAATTACAGTTTGAAATTCTGGACAGAGAAGCTAGGGACTTATGGAGAAGCTAAAATTAAATTACTACAATTAATTCATAGTATAACATAATAACATATATTTAATTTGACAGAACAAAAAGTGACTAGTCTGAGAAAGACTCACCACTCGGTCATGTGTCCTCTGGTGACGTTCAAACCTTGCTTTTCGTCTCTCCTCAGTTTCTCCTTCAACTTCTTCAAATTCTCCAGAGAAAGAGGCGTCTTCCAGAATTAAGTGATCAATATATTAGTAAGGCAGACTAAGAAATTTTTGCATACCCTAGATTTTTTTAACGAAACATACCTCCAAAAAGCGAAGAGAAGTCGTCAAACATATTAGTTTCAGAAGAAGCCTTCTTCAACCCAGATGAAGAAACACCAGAAGCCCTTCCATTGGAGACTTGAGGTTTACCTCTGGTATTAAGGGTCGCATCAAATAGAGGATCCTAACAAGTACAAATATGCCAAATGAGTTATAATGCCAATGTGGCAGCAGGATACTAAACTTATAAATCAGCAAATGTTACCAAATTAGCAGTCCTTGATTTTGGTGCACTGCTGGATCTAGAACTCGTTCCAAAAAAGGATTCTAGATCATCCACACTCTTCAGGGGCATTTCCTTTTCTGCTTCTTTAAATTTGCTTGTTTTAGCATTTTCTCTTGCTCTGCCTTCCCTGGAGTGATTGACATTTGATTGCTTGTTAGGTGTAGCTCGCACTCTACTGGTGGCAAAGTTTTCCAACTCGTCAATTGAAGATGTAGGTGAATTTTTTACTGCATCATGAAGCAAAAAAAAAAAAAAAAAAACACCAATGTTAATTCACTATGAGGAAGACAGACCAATAATAGGCCATCAATCTACGTTTATAATTTTATCCTGACCCGAATGGGAAAAGAAATTACCTTTCACTGACTTCAGAACTTGGCCAGATTTTGGCGGGGGCCGCAATGATGTGGAAACATTTGAAGGGCCAGCAGGTTTTGTATTGCTAACTCCAGAACTGGCAAACTTACTAAACTCCTCAAGTGGATCCAGAAATGAGGAATTTGTGGTGGTTGAAGAAGATGATTCCAAGACTACAAAGGGATCATCTGCTGAGTTGAAGCTTGATTTAGTAGTTCTGGTATTTTCTCTGTATTACGCCATGCACAAGTATTCATGAAGAAACAAAACATTCATGGTTTTTAAGATAAAATTATAGAAAGTAAGTTGCGACAATTGTCACTAGTCAAATACAGTGTCTCCGTTACAACTAACAATCAGAAAACACATGCATATCAAGATTATGAAGATCAAGGCAGTGCCTGGGTTACTACTAAGCTATGGAATATATTGATGAACAGGAAGATAGTGAAGATCAATGCTTCCTCCCTCTTCCTTCAAAGTATAACAACCAACTTAAGAACAACCTTTTTACACTCCTGTCAGTTCTCTTCATTCATAAAAATCGAAAGATATATGCTAGCATGAACGATGTGAATGCTATAGAGAAAAAAATCGTATCCAACAGACAAGCAAAGGCAGCATATTCTATTTCAGGGTAATTCTACCACTTCATCAAAAGCCGAAAGTGCCAAATTTCTAAATCTTTAATAGCTTAGGATGTCTGAATACTCATGTTAGGATCTAGAGAGTAAAATTCCAACAAATTGGAAAGTCATTACGTAATCATTAACCAAAATTAACAGAAAAACCGACCAAGAAGCTTGACTTCTATGCATGTCGAATTAGAAACGTGTATTGAGCCCTCAACAAACCAAAACTGTTTCAGGAAAACATTGACACAATATGTCTTAATTTCGACACAGAGCCTACGCATAACGCACAATAATTACCTCTACTCGGTCTAGACGGATATTCAACATTGTACAATAACTAAAAAATAATGAGCTCTCACTATGATACTTAAGACAATTCAACCAAGAAAAAACAGCAATTTTAAACTTCCCAGAATAGAAACATACCTTTTATCTGATGTCTTGATCGAATTAAACCCAGGTAGCAAGTCATCAAACCCGGATGATCCTTTCCTATTCAGAGAAGGACTAGGCTTCGAACCGAAATTCCCCAACAACTCATCGATAGGGACACTCTGCTTCTGATTGGAAGCAAACGACCCAAACAAGTCATCATTACTGGAAGCATTGGAGCTCTTCAACCCACCACCAAATATATCATCATTGTCAAGTGACGATCTTGCATTAGAATGATTGTGCCCAGAAAATATCGAATCGTAATCAAAAGAAGAACTCCCGTTACTCTGCTTCGATCCCTTGTCAAATCCACCAAAAACCTCGAACCCATCGGTCGAACCTCCAAAGCTCTGAGCTTTCTGATTGCCGAACAGGTCCCCGTTACCACCGACAGAAATCCCATTAAATGAATTGGTGCCGTACGCAGCAGTGGAGGGATAAGCGGGCGATGACTGGGAATTGACAGGCGAACCGGAAGCCAAATTCCGTGTTGGGGCAGCGGTTGCACTATTGGGTCGTTTTGATGCGGCCATTGGAGCAGATTTTCCCTGGGGCTTCAACCCAAATCGCTCAGTCAACACACCAAACTCGTCCATCTTCGGAAACCAATCACAAGCAAAGTGCAGTTGCAGCTACGAAGAGAACGAGAAATGGGTTTTTATCTCCGATATATCAACGAACCATTCAATCCACGCCGAGATTTACAAAGATTGTACAGATCTCATTCCATCTCTGCCTTCATCACCACCCGCCGAATTCGCCCGCACCGCTATCCTTAATGAATCATGGGAGAAGACGAAATTTACCTTCACTAGCCGCCACGCCTCCCCCCAAATAAGATGATCGATTTACCTCTTTCTCTCTTCGCTGCAATAGCTCGGTCTCCTGTGTCGTTCAGCCTAGTCAATTTGGAATTTAGGACCTGAGAGGGAATGAAAGTTGGAGGAGGAGGGATGGACTGGCTCTTAGATGGGTGGGGATTAGAGGCGGAGGCGACCAGCGAGGCAAGCGATGGAGGCGGCTGAAATCGACGGGAAATGACAAAGGATCGGGGAGGTGGAAGCAACTGGAGTCTGGAGGGGAAGAAGACCAGAAAGGGCGAGACTAAGTGGAAGAGGGCGAAGATTGACAGACAGAGAGGTGGAAGCTTAGGTGTCGGTCTCATGGAGGGGGACCAGGGTCAGGTTTAACCAAGGTTGTCAACCCGGTTTATATAGTTGTATTGGTTTAACAAATGGTATGGCTCGACCGATGGTACAAATTGTACCATCGGTCGAGCCATACCATTTGTTAAACCAATACAACTATATAAACCGGGTTGACAACCTTGGTTAAACCTGACCCTGGTCCCCCATATAAAATATGTAAGAATATGAAAACTTATTAACATCAAATTAAATGAATTTAAGCATATATAAAACATATTTGAATACAATTTACATTAAGCTCTATATTTTTTAATGATTAATCAAAAAATTCATTAAGCTCTACCCTTGCAACAAGGGTCCTCTCTACCTGCCAGTAGTGGAACCCAAGGTACCTAACAAGGAAGGTACCTAGAAGAAAACCCGTTGTAGAGGCAATATCCCTTTGATCTTCAAGCCCAATTCCTTCAAGGAAGATACTATTTTTCTCAGATTAAACTTCAGACCATAGATCATATAGAACTCAGACATCAGGTTTTTTATCCCCTCAACTGCATCCACAGGTCCACTAGAGAGGACCAAGAGGTAATCCGCAAAACAAAAATGGGAGATTTCAAGATGTTTACATCGAGGAAGAAAAGGAATCTGCCCTTCCTAGGTTGTCTTAGCCATTAGGCAAGAAAAATAATCGTCGCTATTATAAAAAAAAAATGTGAAAGTGGATCACCCAACCTGAGATCCTTGTCCTCAGAAAAGTATCCACATAAACCTCCATTCATTGAAAAACTGAACATGGGAGAGGAGACATAAACCCTTACCTGACTAACAAACCAATCCGGGATACTCATAACAGTCATGACTCTGAAGAGGAAACTCCAATTACCCGAATGAAAATTCTTTGTTAAATCGATCTTAACTACACACTTAGGGGCAACATATGCTTTATGGTAGTTTTTGACCAATTCACATTAAGATGTTAACGCTGATTAATTGTTCTTTCACAAAAGTTGACCGTCATTTATTAATCAATTTAGAAATAAATCTAGATAGTCTATTGGCCATCAACTTTGTAATGCCTTTATACAGAACATTACTAACAACAGATTGGTCTAAGACCCTTTATTCTTAGCAATTATGGGAAATCAAGGTGAGGATTATGGAATTTACCTTTATGAAGAGAATTCCTGAATTGAAGAAACTCAGGATAGTATACTCCACATCCCCTCCAACCACCTACCAATCAACATTATAAAAGTAAATTTAGGACGCTGCTTGTTGGCGTTCACGTATAACCTGGGGATTTGCTCTATCACCCATGCAGAGTTGAGGGGTGCTGTAGAAGGTCTTCAGAGGGCTTGGGAGGCTGGTGCTAGACGCGTGAAGCTAGAGTTGGATTCGGCATGTGTTTGCTAGCTTCTGCAGGATCCAGACCCTAGTGAGCACCAGAATGCAGCGATTTTAGACTGAGCATCAAAGTTGCTTCACAGACAGTGGGACGCCTCGATAACCCACATTTACAGGGAAGGCAATAAGTGTGCGGACTTCCTTGCGAATCAAGGCCATTGTGCTCCGTTAGGTGGACATTCTTTTCCTTTGAATGATCCTTTATTTTGTAACTGGTTAAACTACGATATTCAGGGGCTTTCCGAGCCCCGGGTGGTTTTGAATGAAAGATAGGGTGCTTTTGCATCCATTTGATAAAAAAAAAGTTGATTGGAAATCCATCAGAGTTTGGGGCCTTATCCAGTGCCATTGATAGAAAGACTGAGAATTTCCTATCTGGTAACTTCAGACTTCAATTCATTTGCATCCTCCGATTATAACTTGCTTCAGATCAACCTTCATAGAACTCCAATGGGCGCTGCTCAACACCGGGATAAAGTTTGAGCGTCGCATTCTCTTTGTAAGAAAATTATATCTAGACTTTGAATTGACCGGAATTTGGGACATGGTACTATACCCTAATCCTTAAAGATTAAAATCTAGGTCTCATTTATGTAAATCTCATACACTAAGATTAATTTTGTTAGAAGCAATAGTTTACGGTCATGATTAGTCGAAATAAATGCAACAAATTATATGCACGATTTTGGTATTTAGGATCTATAATTTAGATAATTAAGACCTAGAGTTCACTAATCAAGGATTAGGATTTAGTAGTATTAAACCCCAAAATTCGGTTAATTCGACGTATATACATACACATAAAAGCCACCACAAATATATACATACACTTACACATAAGAACACATTAATTCATGTTAAGGCTCACATGCCACTATAAGGTTGCAGCCATGCCAAAGACACATCAGAAATTGGTGCAACACTACCACGCTTACGAATGATTCGAGAATTAGGGATTTCGAATTGTTATAAACTTTTATAATCTAGATCAATATCTTCTCATGTTCCTAAGATAAAAGAAGAGCCCATAACTAGCTCTAGTGGATGGCCCAAAATTTCCTTAGTCGTAAACATGCTACTTCCCCATAACAAACACATAGGATACATGAACTCGCTCAACAACTCAAGAATAAATTTTTATATCTCTCCAGTGCACGCTACGTACCCGCTCTAAGATTAAGGTGTAATCAAACTCGAGGATGCAATTATTCTCAATTATCCACGATTAACACCTAGTATTAGAGGAATGAAAAACACTTTTAGTTTAGGTGTAATCAAACACTTACACCTAAACTAACCATTACTCCCCCACTCTCTACAAAATTTCTAAGCTTCTTCTCAACAACTGAACATGATTTCATTTATTCCATCGTGTGAGTGTGTGACCACATCATTTTTTCTTCCCATCCTCCTCTACAAACCTTTGGAAGCTTTAAGATCATCAACGATTCCGGCAATAGACCCAGCCGCCGCCGCCACGGTGATCATAAGACACCCCATGCTCAACAACTTCAACAACACCCATTTCCCACTCCACCGGACTATCTTCCTCCCGGCGATGTACATCTCGATCGGAAAATACACCGTCAACGGCCAGAACCCAATCGCGCCCAACAACCCAACAATGTCGTTGAAGAAAGGAACCAATATCGAAATCGTCGTCGACACCACCACAAAACCCGTCCTCCACACCAATCTGAACATGTTCAGGCCGTAGTAGCGGTTCCCGGCCGTATCCTTGTCGCCGCTGCCGGGGAGCCGGATTTTGATCTCCTTGTTCACGAACCGGCTGTCGGGGAACCGCCGGGCGGCCTGGTCCTCGACGAATGCGAAGATCGGCTGGCTGAAGACTTGGTACGCGCCGACCAAGTGGAGGACGACGGCGACGTTGGCGACGTCGAGCAGCCAGTACGGGTTCAGCCCCGTGGCGGTGAGGAGGTTGCCCGGCGACGAGTCGCCGAACGCCGCGTAGCCGAAGCAGGCGCAGAGCATGTAGAAGAGCGTCGTCACTGCCACGCTGAATCGGTTGGCGACCTTCATCGTTTCTACTTCTGATGGTGGCGACTTGATTGTGTCCTGGTGTGTGTGGAAGAAAAAACAAAAGAAGATATTATGCTATAGATTTAAAAGGTTTCTACAAACTCTTTCGGAACCACTCGAGGTATTGGGATCGAGTGGTGAGTTTGCTGATATTGTATCGGAGTTTACGACCGAAAGGTCGTAGTTTCAAATTCTCACGACGACCTCCATTTAATACCCATTTGTTAGCACAAGGGATGTGGTGCAATCCACCCACATACCTCTGTTGGTTGGGTAGGTGGCGGATGGATGCGATTGGATCGTGGGTCAACGCGCAAAAGCAATTCTCCAACTAGCCATTAAGAAAGTTTACTAACATTTATAATAAGTTCAATTATATGTGATTTTGATACAATTAATAATTTATAGTTTGCATCCCAATATCTAGGGGTCGTTTGGAAGTTGTGATTGTTAGAGTTGTGTTTGTTGAATACATGTATTGTGCACAATACAATGTTTGGAAGAGCCAAAGTGTAAAACAATGCATGCATTGTTTTAGGTAGGTCCCACCAACAATCACAAAAAATGATGCATTATACAATCTCAACTAAAAGTTGAGATTGTTGGTTTTAGATTTGTGTCAACTTTTTCTTTCCATTTATATCCCCAATAATTTTTGTCCCACCAACAATGCATTATACAATCTCAACTAAAAGTTGAGATTGTTGTGATTGTTGGTTTTAGATTTATGTCAACTTTTTCTTTCCATTTATATCCCCAATAATTTTTGTCTTATTCTAAAAATTGAGGGTAAATATGACATTTCCCCATAAATGTAACTTTATGTAAATCAATGCATAAAATAGAATCTCAACAACCAAACAATGTATTGTTAAAATGCATCCATTGTATCAATACATGCATTTATATTATGGTGATTCATCACAATGCAACGATTTAACATTCGCAACTTCCAAACGACCCCCTAATTGATATTAACAATAATTTGCATACCAATATCCAATATCTAATAGATATTACACAACACAAAACCAATGATAGCAGTCAGAACTATTCTTTATTCTCCACCTTTTGAAGTATATGGTCAGACTGTAGTGCAGTTCAAAAATATGATGAATATTCAATACTATAAGAAACAACATTTTTTTATGTAAAAATAGAATGCGGGTCATACGAGTGACCCGCAATCCACCCACATAAGTGTGGGTGGAAGATTTATCAATCCGCAATCCACCCACATCAATCAACCAATGCGTGCGGGTCGGGTTATTTGCGGACGGATCGATATCAATCCGCGGATTAGCCACCCACATGCCCACCCCTACCTGGGCAAACTAAAACCTCGTGATTTAGCAGCACAAGGGCTCAACTTGTGCAAACTGTATAAATCCACAATTCGACATCGGGCTTTCGTTTGAGGTCGAGGGGCTTGTAAGAGATTAAAAAGACTCTTAACAAACCATTTACGAACGATTCGAGTTAATTATTTGGGTCAAGTGGTTAATTAGGAGAAAAATTGACCTGAATTTCGATGAGGATGATGGAGTAGGAATACGCGAAAGCGATGTTCCCAAGCGCTTGGA